GGTCACTATAGGCCTAGAGGCACAGGCCACCAGCAGTCCCCAGGTTTACATGCGCACGACAAGTTAGCCATGCTGCACAGCCACTAACTCCAAGTATCCTTCCCCTCACATAGCCTCCTTTGTCTCCAGAACTCCAGGTCATGTAGCATTTTGCTGTGACTGGAGCATGCTTAACATTTATTTAAAATCCCTGCTTTCAAATAAATGAAAAGGAAGGGAATAAAAAAACACTTAAGGTGCTCTTTAATCAATGCGCCACTGACACCCACATTCTCCAGATAGGGAGTTGCTTCTGAGTCCCGTGACGTAACTCTAAATGGCAGTAGCATAACTAACTAGTTTTACATATGTTTATAAGTCAAGGATACAGTCAGCAAATACCATTCTGAATGTTTGCTTAATCAAGACGTTCAAAAATGGGGGAGGCCCTACTCCTGTTATTTTGCTAAGCGAACACAGTATTAAAATTCCCCCTAAGCAGTTGCTGGCACAGCCGTAGGTGAGTACATCTGCTAGCAGTTATCAGAGAAGCTTCTCTTTGTCATTGATAGTGATCAGTGAGGAGCATCCCAGTAGGTCAACCCCCAGAGGAAAGGGTACTGTCGGGAGCTGAACCCCAAGTTCGACTGTACCACACCCTTTTACCCGAAGGCTCAGGGATCTTCAGGGAAGAATGACTGGAATGGAGTCTCACACAGATTTCAGAGAAAGCGAGATCATTTAATAGGAGGAAAGGCAAAAGTGCAGGGGGATAATTGCCAAGACTGACAGCCGCTCACACGGGTGAGGCTACTCCAAGGGCCCGGTACTCAGAGCTTCCTTTCAGCCAGCTGTCGAGAAGAGGTTGCTAGGTGATCTAGCTTGAGTGATTCCCTGTTTTGATTGACAGATTAAGTCATGGATTCATTTCTCCTACTGTGTGTGTCCATTCCCATGAAGCATCTGATTTTGATCTTACGCTTTTTACCCCATTTACAATTCTTTGGGTCAGAGGCCATGAGCCTGGAAATACCAGTTCAGACACCCCTCCCTACCAGAGATGAGGCTATTCAGTAACTTCCGATGGGAGCATTTTGGATGATAAGATGGAGAGGCTTTTCCTTTTTGACATGTGCTAGGGAGGAATTTATGAGTATTATTTCCACTACATGGAAACACAATCTTGTTTTTAAAATAAAGCCAATCCGTAGGAAGTGTGCTAATAAAGAGATAGTAGGGGGAGAGACAGAAAGAAAGGGATGGAGAACGAGGCAGAGAAACACTCTTCCAATAACATGATTTGTATTCCCGAATCTAATCAAGAAAAAAAAGCAGAAAGGTTGATAGAGCCATGGGCAGTGGAGGAGTGCTACAAAAGTATTTTCCAGACATGGCAGCATCATTGCACACGGAAACACAGCTGCTTTAGCTGCCTGCACAAGATCAGCACAAAATCAGGCCAGCCAAATATCTCAGCAGGGATAGGGGAAGGGGGGCGGGGCTCATGACGTACCAGCCATAGCTGAGGAGCTATTGGCTACTGATGCATGCGGGAGGAGGAGTCAGTTTCCTTTAGCGATGGCCCCTGATAGACTGCCCGTGCTCCCCCACCCCCAGATGGCTTTCCACCCATGCACAGGCTGGCAGCACTAGGTGCCTCAGAGGTTTTAATAAAGGAAAGGCGCATGAAAAGTTGGAAAAACGAAAATTGATGGGAAGTGTGGAGAGGTTGGACGTAGGGAATCGCGGGTGGATTTCATAACAATCCAGTACACACATCTCAATTAAAAAAAATGATAAGGATAAATTACGTCAAAACAAAAATGATTGAAAATACCCGCGGGGACAGCCAGTACACCGGGCACAGATAGCTGAGATGTCTGAGAAGACTGTGACAAAGTTGTGTACCCAAGCATACACATGACTGTGCACTCAAAGGAGATGGCTCTGAACCCAACGTTTCATAACAATGCTACAACTCGGTACTACCCAGAATGCACAGCCTGCCCTTGACCAATAGGTACGGATGGATGACTCCTATAACTTCAATCGGGTGACTTTAAACTCACAAGAAATTGCCCCATGTCCTTTTAGTTTTGTACCTTTAATAGAAAAGCGTGTTCAGTTTTGAGAATCACTTTACCGGTTTCCCTGCAGTTGGGGTTGTGTAGGACTCTCTTCTCTATTGCTCTTTGGGGTTTCTGTGGGGATTTTTTTGTTACATGATCAATAAGAAAGTCTGAAAATTCTGTTTTAGCATGAGTCTTATAATTTATATGTTTTCAAAGATTTTTCTACAGGTGTAAGGGACACTGATTGGAAAATAAACAGATATTGGAATTTTGGAGTTATTCGATGGAAATAAGAAAGTGTGCTTTTAAGAAATTACATGGTTGTTTCAGAGTATTAATTGATCTTATTTTTTTAAATCTAAGAAATATTTTCTTTTACAAATGAAGTTTTCAAGTTGTGAATTTTCAAAGCATTACTGTATTTATAAAATACTTCAGTATTTATAATTTTCAAATTTTCTGATAGAAATCAGATAATTGGGACAAATCTTAAGACTCCTTATACACAGAAAATACTGGGGTTTTTTTTCTTTCATTTTGGTGAACTCTCTATTGTCCATAACATTTTTTTAAATTTATTGTTTCTTTCATGAACCAATACACAGGTCATCAACTGACGAGTATAGCAGGGAAGATTTCTTTTCTATTGGTCATTTTAGCAAAAGTTTGCCAGTATTTCAGTTCCATGCATACTAAGAAACATACACATATAGAAAGATACATAGGTACAGATAAATAAATGCACGTGGTTGTAACATGCACGCATGGATGGGCACAACTGTATTCTCTGCATCTTCACATCCATCCATTCATTTACTTCAGTCCGGTTGAGAGAAAAGAATTATGATCTATATTTTTTATTTTTCTGTGTGTGTGTGTGTGTGTGTGTGTGTGCGAGCGCACATGCGCTTGTGCCTCTGTGAGTTTATACGTAGAAGGTTTGTGCAGGTACCCAAGAAGGTCAAAGGACGTTGGATCCTTGTGAGCCTACCGATGTGGGTGCTAGGGATTGAACCTGGGTCCTCTATGCAGTAACCACTCTTGACCACTGAGCCCTTTCTCCATCCTCCAATATACTGAATTTTTTTGGCAGGCAAAACTATGAAAAGAGATTTTAAAAGGTATAAATGGTCAAGATTTCAAAATGATTTGCAAGATGAAGAACTACATTTTAAATACATTTAGTGGTCAATTTATCACAAGTTTGCGTTTTGACTCATTCTTAACTCATCCAAACTTCGTTACGGGCAGAAACGCTGGGTTTTAAGCTGAGCTGGCATGAAGCAAGCACTTTTGCTGTTCTGTGTATTACATGTATTACACGATTCCAAATTGCGTTTTCTCATCTACGTCTATCGAGTGGCTAGACCAGCATCTGGCAGCAAGCTGTGCTAAGCCTTCTCAGGAGAACCTTCAAGGAAAGCAAGCTGCCATCTTCCTTATCACATTTTCAAACATGCAGCATCTCCGTAAACTCCTAGAAAGATGATAATTTCAGGAAATTTCTCAACCCGTGAGCAATAATAATGTTGACTTTGATAAACAGTTAGGCAAGAAGTATCCCTTGGCTCTTCCCTATATGTCACTTGCCGTTCCTTCCTGGTTAAGAATCCACTTCAATATTTAAAACTCTAAGCATTTTAATCATGATTTTTTTCCCTCTAGACTCTAGTAAATTCAGTAATAAACCATGGTGGCTAAAATTGTGATGAACTAAAAAGGAGGAATCAATCCACTACAGATGCAAATATATCTGAGTAAACGTGGGGTCCCGTAAGTGCAGACACCAATGAAGGAACATGAAACACAGTGACGGACATCTCTGTAAACGTCTAGCCTACATTTGCTCCACAGATATTTGGAAGCATCTACTGACTTAATAGTCATCCGGGTGCAGAAGCTTTGGCCTGGAGCCCCTGATGCGTTTCTAGACAGTCTGATGTACCAAAGTAACAACCAACAGTCACGAGTGACCTTGTATTGCTGTAAAGCAAGTTTGACATCCTTCAAAAAGTACGGGCATAAACAGAGGTGTTTTTCCAATAGTTAGGGACACAGGAGAAGCAGCAGACATTTATTAATTTCTTTCATTTCTTCCACAGTGTGGAGTAAAGCATTAAGCATATTGATAATTGCTCAGAGTCATATTATCACCACTACACAGGGCCCATAGAAAACATGGTAAGAAATTAATATAAACACTCGAGGATTTATTGATGCTTGTGTTATGTATTTACTAGTTCACCTGTGTTTGGCTACAAAGAAATAATATTACACGAGTATATTTTAATTTATTACACAAGATCTCCACTGCCTAAATATTTGATTTGGGCTTTTATATATGACCACTGCTTCACAAATACAGTGCAAATCTCTAGGAATATTTGTACCATAATTAAAACCTCTAGTGTTTTTAATTAACACCAGATAAGGTATCAGCTGCTCTTCACACTGAATAGTGTACCACTGTAGGCACTGCTATTTCTCAACTCAGTCATTGTCTCCATTTAGTCATTAATCATTTCAGAGAAAAATTTCCACAAAATCCTCAAGTATGCTGTTCAAATGTGTACAAACGTGTATGCGGTTTTGCACATAATTTCAAGGTATTTTGGGATCTATGGACTTCCCGCTCTGACTTTTAGACTCATATTACCAGATACAGTTGGAAAAGGAATGAGTATACACAGCAGTGCAAACAAAATTTGGTGATTCCATCTCAAATTGTCTATATATCTTTGTGAAGGAAAGAGGTACTCTAAATTATTAGAAGTAGCAATCGTCACATAATCTTCTACTGCTGCGTGTCCTCTATGCTTCACTATCTAGATAACCAAGAAGGTCATTGTGAATGTCACTGACAGTGTACAACATCTGTTTAACCCCCGAAGTGAAGTTCTTCGGTTACAGATAGACAACCACCTCATTTAATGTTCTCATTTCATTTAGCATTCTGCTTCTTCCTGCTTCTGGATGACTCCTTGAGACACCACCAGTCAGGGCAGAAGCAGAAACAGCCACCTGCTCCGTGGACGTCTATTCTGACTGGTCGGTCAGCTTCACTGTAATCTTTAGAGCAGTCCAGTCGCCACCTATTTTGACAATACTATCGTTAGTCTTTTGAAGACACAGTCAAATGGAGCCAGTCTGGAGGCCAAGACAGTCATGGTGCCTCTTTGTATGCCTGCATACTTGGATCTTATTGGAAAGAAATCTGGACACGATGGAAGCAGTTTTTGTTGAATAACCTGAAACATGGGCTCACCAAAATAAAACCTGGTCTCCTCTGAGGTGGATCATTTAAATGTTAACTTTGTGTTTAGGAGGTACCATATTGTGAACAAAAATCACAATATTTCACACATCCATATAAGCCAACTGTGTTCCAGAACATAGCTAAGCAACTACTAAAAAAAAAATCAGAATCCTTGAAAGTTATGCATTTCACCGTGACACTTTACTGCTACAAAGTGCCACCAATCTCTACCTGGATCCTACGTGCTCTTCCTTAGTTTTTTCATATCTATAGGGTCTGAGCAGTTGCTTTATGACATCACATTGGATTATCCAAGAAAATGCACGTGTGCCACAAACACTCTGCAACGACTGGAGGTTGATATAAATAAAAATAGCTAAATACCATTTCCTTAAGGAATAGGTTGGCTTCCATGGTAACCCTTTGATCGTTTTTATAAACCAATGCCTGTTTCAAATCCTCATTCACTCGCCATAACTTTGAGGGTGAAAGCATAGAAGACTTCTGTATGACAGCAAGAGCCTCAAGTTTTGAAAAGGTCAAATAGTAATTCTGGTCCAAGGATATGAAATGTGATTGTAATCTTCTTTGATTGCATGTTTGATTGATTAAACATATCAATATACCCAGCAAACATGAAAGTACGTGTGATGTTTGAATGGCAGGAATTGCTGTAGTATCTTTGTGGGGAAAACACTTTTAACAGTGTCTTCCAAGTCTCCTTAGGAATGTTTTGTAACTAGACTGTTAGAAGTTGGTGCAACCAATCTAAAACAGTAACATTTAATTTAAAACAATAACATTTAGACAATCGTAAGGATGTTTCCAGTACAGATGTTATGTGCATAGCTTCCTGAGCTATTTCAGGAAAAGTTGGAGTTTTACAGTTTTCCTTATAATTTTCCTTCCACATATTCTCATCTAAGCCCAGAAGCTTCTGTTTTGGAGATTTAAGTCCCTTTAGCATGTGTCATAACTGTGGTAAATTCAGGCAGATAGACGCTGGCAAAACAGTTGGACCTGAATATAAAGAAATCTACACATATCCTGTTGTATGTCTATCTTTATTTTATCACATGCTTCCTAGGTAGTCAAAGTCAAAATCAGAAATAGCAGCTATTACACAACACTAAACCTTTTGCCTCACCTGGAGTCTGCTTAATTGAAAATAAAACACTCCACAGACACACCTTTGCCTTCTGCCTTCTCCTCTAACAAGGATAAATAACACATATAGAAGGAGGAAAGACACAAAAGGAATTAATCTGTTTATTAAGAGCTTTTGTTACTTTTACAAATGGTATAGTGTTGCTTATTTTAGAGCAATATGAAGACTAAAGCAAGAAAAAGATGACGGTAAATTATATTAATTGCACAGAAATACACCCTAAAGCTAAATAATGCTGTAAAATTAGCTTAAATTATGGGCATTTGATTTTATATTTTTAAAATACCAGAACACTGGCAAATTATTATACAAGTATAATTAAGGTCATAGAAAATAGGAAACAATTTATTTGCATTATAAAATATATGAGACAGTAAAAAGTTAGAGTATTATTCTGCTTTGGTTCTTTATTTAATAAAACACTTGCTTCATGCATACTATAAACAAGACATTATCCAAAGCAGCAAACACAACAGCCCACCAACACGTTTCCCTTTGGGGGAATATTCCAGTAAGGGAGAGATGATAAGCAAAGAAATGCTCTTGATGCAAATGTGGTAAAGAGCAAGAAATGGTATAAAGAAAAAATAATGGAAAAAGCAAAATAAAACAAGAACGTGATTTGCAGTCTCTTGAAGTCTTGAGACAGCAGCGCTACCTGAGAATGGCCATTTAAGACATTCTAAGGAAGGCGGAGGAAAAGACAGTGTAGACATCTTCAGCACTTCCTGCATAGAAGAAGGAGTGGGAAGCAAAGCGACTCACAGAGGCTGGGCAGGACAGAGCCAAAGAAGAGTAATTTATGGGTCCAGAGGAAGGGACCGAATAAGAGAAGTGAAGCAATGTCTGGTGAGGTAGATACATGGAGAGTACGGAAGGCAGTCACAAGGAGACGACACGCCAATCTTTACTGATACGCCAGGGTAACAAAGTACAAAGTCCCGGGGACATAGCAGCTCCATGGTGACATTATTAAGTTCCTTGGTAACTGTGGAAGTGAGCACCCCTGTGGATACCTAACGGGACACACCAAGCCTAGATTCCTGCCTGAGCTACTTTTGCTCCAAATGGAAGGAAATAGATAGTGAGTGATAGAGCATTTTTGTTTTGTTATGTCGATTTAATTGCACGGGACTATGGTATAATCTTCACTCTAGGAATGATCTGGTAGAGACTGAGAAACCAATGTTTGTAGGAGAGTAGGAAGACACACGTGGAGGAGGGCTTGGTCTTCAGGAGGGGTACAGTCAGCAGATCTGTATCAGTAGACAAGAGCACAGAATACCCGAACCTATGGCTGTGTTGGGGCACAGCTGAAGACTATGTCCTCTGCTGGTTACTGTAGTTTTCTTAACAAATGAGAACGGAACACAAAGGAGAATGATTGGGACCTTAGGGAGCAACTGCACTGGAAAAATGAGGGCAATGCTAACACATGTAACATTCACAATGAGATGGGGATGTTCTGTGCTTACTTTCGGCTACTACTGAGCTGTAAGAATAGAGTAAGTAGAGACTTGAATTGGACAAGATTGAAATTTTCCAGAGAGAACTGAGAACATTTATAAAGAAGTGCTTCACGTAAGGACCAGGGCTCTAAACATGGAAGTGGGGATATGAAGGGAGAGGGAACAATGAAGAAAATGGGAACAATAGTAAGTTTGGGTTTCTGGTAGACTTAAAACATGTTGCAATTAAAATTCTACAAAGTGAATAAGAATAAAAGGAGCTGTAGCTTAAGAACAGTCTGTTCAGATATGAAATGGCACAGAAGAGGGTTGTAGCTATTGGCAAATAGGAGCCCAGAGAATATGATTATAAGTAGGAGAAAGAAGAAGTTCACCACGATGAGAGGAGATCAAAGAATCAAGCGACCATATGATCATGTACACAGATGTTGTGGGTTTTAAGCTTGCTAAGCGTTAGACCTGGAACAATACACATGGCCACCCCACAGCTCAGTTTTCAAGGATTTATAGCCAGAATCCTACAGGTCATTACCTGATTGTCTTAATCAGTGATGCAGCAGTAAGAGATTTAATACAGACTCGGCTTCAGAGTAGGGCAGGGTGATACGAGAGGAGTGTGGAAAATTCAACTTTTAGGTTTGATGAAAAGCAGCTCACAGAAATGTAACCAGCTACCACTCACAAAGGTTCGAGCAGGGAGGAGGCAGAAGTGTCCGTAACAAACCAAACCCGTGTTGACTCAAACCCATGTTTCTTTAATTAGGACAGGGTCTTGCTCCTTGGCTCATGTTGGCCTTAAATCATGATCTTCCAGCTTCAGGTTTTCAAGCACTAGGCTATAGATGTGATTAAGCATACTTAGTAAGCATACTCGTTTCCAACGTGTCCTAAACCATAACATTCCATCCCTACTTCCAAAAAGGCTTATGGCTATCTCATGGTTCAAAGTGCATCCGGTCCGTCACAAGCTGCTCCCAACGTCTTAACAATCTTAGAATTGTTTTCAGGTAGCTCAGCTTGTTTGTGAAACCAGAACCAAGTTCCATATTTACCATAGAGAAAGAGCATAGACAAATTAGCATCAAATTAGGATTGTACTAAAGGAAGACAGAGGCAAACACAAAATCAAACAGATCTGTGTCTGGTATGCAGGGCACATAAAGTCATGTTGTGGGCTCCTAAGCACTTCGGCAGCCCTGCCTCTGTGACGTCTCCAGTTCCCGCATACATGATTTTGTTCATGGGCTGGTTCCGCAAATTGCCTTCGCCTTTGCTTGATAGGTGTTCCACAATCCTAGCATTAAAAACTCGCTGGACTCTCCATTTGAATTTGGGGGATTAACATTTATTGGTCTCTTTAAAGGTGCCAATAGGGAACAACCCCCTCCCCCTCAACCCTACAGTATAGTTAAGAGCTCTGTAGTTGGGATGGAAGCTTTTCTGGTCCCACTAGGTCAGAATAATATGGATGATGCCAAAGGAGGCAGCTTCCCTCACTATGGATGGATTGAATCATGAGCCAAAATAAATACCTTTTCCCTTTTAAGTTATTTATGCCTAGTGTTTAGACATGGCAACAACCAAGCTCATTGGGATTGGTACCAGGCAAGGGTTGTAATTTCTGTTAGTAAGTCTGATGAGTTAACACTGGCTCTGTACTCCTGAATGACAGCCTCATGGGCCTCTGAGTGCCCGGATAACTGAATGTGGGAAGAAAATAAAAAACACTTTGCTCGATAGTCCTGTGTGAGAACAATGTCTCAGGATGTACCTCAAAAAGTATTCTCAAAATATTCAAGCCTTTTATTCTTCCCCTCTGTTTGGGTACAGTCCAGTCAATTTAATAGATGCCATATTGTTCAGAAATGATGTTTGGTTTTTGTTTGTTTGTTTTATTTTCTCTGTGTAGCTTTGGAGTCTGTCCTAGAACTAGTGCTTGTGTACCAGGCTGGTCTTGAACTCACAGAGATCCGCCTGTCTCTGCCTCCCGAGTGTGGGGATTAAAGGCCCTACCACTGCCCGGCTATGACATGCTCTTTTTAATGACCTGAACTTCTCCAGAAGCCACACTGTGCTTGGTTCTAAATTGACACGTTCTTATGTTCTTCTCCGGGAAACCTGAAAGTTCCTTGGCTTTCCATTTGGCTGGCTTATTCTAATTCCAGCTGCATCATTAACTAAGTGGCCAGCAAGTCCATGCTGGAATACCTTGAAAATTCCTGCAGCAGATTAATTAGTGCTCCATTTCTACACTTAGCTTTCTATACCGTCTCAGCACATAGGGAAAATACAGACAACTTCTGTAATGTGCATGACCTCTAGTCCAATGCCCGGGGGAGTTCTCATTCCCATGTTAAGCGCTATGAGCAGCTTTTACTGCCCACGTTCTGATTGGCATTCTGGGCTTGTGAACCCCTAGAATCGCCCACCAGGCTTTGTCTAGTCTGATTCCGCAATCATTTCCAAATTCCTCCCGGGGACCCATCTAACGTGTACTAGAACCATAGCATTACATCTTATTCCTCATATCTGCCTTGAACGCCATAGCCCTACACCTCAGCTCCTTTGTTTTCAGGGTATCCTTAAACTCGATAACCCCTAGCAAACTAACACTGGCCTTCTATGGTTCGGTCACATGAAGAGATTGTATCTCATCTCCATCTCCCAAGGATGTCACATGGCTGCCTGTGAGTAGATGCCGTCCGCTTATATTTGTCAGTGGTGTTTGTTGAACTGAATGCTATCGTTTTTAATTAATTTTGTATTTAAATTAAAAACAATCTCATTTTACATACCATTCCCAGTTTCTTCTCCCTCCTGTCCTCCCTTTGCCCCTACCAACCCCCATCCTACCCCAAACACACTCTTCAGAGAGGGTGAGGGCTCCCATGGGAGAGCATCATGCCCCCTGTATCTAGGCTGAGAGAGTATCCTTCCATAGGGAATGGGCTCCAAGTTCATGCACTAGAGATAATTACTGGTTCCAAAGCTAGTGAC